TCAGCCCTACTCCAGGCTGCCCCCTCATCCTCTGTCTCCATAGATTGGGCCTTGCTTCCTCCCTGGGATGGTACCTTTCTCTGCCACGTGGTGTGCCGAGTGCTGGAGATGCAGTGGAGGGGAGCCGGCCACTTCCATTGCTCTACTCCTCTACTCGCCTCTCAGCCCTGTCATCAGTGCACTCCAGCCCTCTGTTGGGCTGTGTACTAGTAAGAAAATGGAGCAGCCCCCTCTGGGAAAGAAGGGAGCTCCTTCAGTGTCTGTTGTTAGAGGTAAGTCTCTGCAGTGATGGGGAAGCTGAAACAGAAAGTTGCAAACTCTTTCCAAGGAATTGCCAACCCCCCCTGAAAATGCTGTGTCAGCCTGGCAAGCTGGGGGTGTGCAGGGAAGCCTTGAATTACAGGCTCCCTGCCGCTGGTATTCTGGTGTCTGTCTTCAGCTTTCTTGGGGCTCACTACCTTCAACTCCTGCCTCTCTAACTTTCTTAGATAATAACAGTTCCCTATCCACAGCTTCACATGCTGTGGTTTCAGTTCCTCAAGGCCAATTGTGGTCTGAAAATACTTTGCCCAATAATAATTTTCACATATATTGTTATGGAGATTCCATTTTCTTATCGATTATTGTTTATCTCTTCCTGTGCCTAATTTATAAATTAAACTTTATTATTGGTGTACACACACAGGGAAAATCATAGTTTATATAGGGTTTGGGAGTACCTAATGTTTCAACTGTCCTCTTGGGGTCTTGGAATGTGCCTCCCCTCAGATAAGAGGAACTGCTGCACTAAATTCCCCATCACATTTATTGTTATTTGTTGTTGCTAACAAAACGCCCTCAAACAGTCATTTCACTGATTGGCTATTCCGTGCTCAGCAGTTGGTCTGGGCTCAGCTGGGTGGTTGTTCTGCTGCCCTTCCTCTGAGGCCATGTCAGCTGGTGGCTGGACTGAGGCTGGTTTACAGTGGCCTCGTGCGCATGTTTGGTCATTGGTTGTTGGACCCTCTCACCCTGATGGCTTTCATTCTTAAGAGGTCAACTTGTATATGGACTCAAGGTTCTCAAGGATAAGACACAAATTGCAAGGGCACTTAAGACCTTGGCTTGGAATTCACATATCACCAAGTCAAGTCACAAAACCATCCTGAAGGCCTCCCTGGTGGAACAAGGGGTTAAGATATAACCTATGAAGCTGTCTGCAGCCACTGCAGCACAAGTTCAATCCCCGGCCAGGGAGCTACCCACATGGCACAACAGACCTCCTGTCTCACCCACTGCTCCCCTCAGCAGTGTATTTCAGTCAGTCTGCCTGTTCTGCTCCCCACTCTGTCTCTGGTGAATCCTTTCACCCCCCCCCCACACCTCTGGCCTGTACCTCAGTTGTTTTATGCATAAATAAATAAATCTTAAAAAAAACAGCTTGCATTCATGGGGTAGGAATATAGACACAAAGATCTCTGAGTAAGGGATTGGGAGGACCCATCCCCATCATCTTTACTAACTGTCTACCGGGCTACATTGCCCTTTTACTTCTAGCTAATTAGTATTTGTCTTCACCTAAGGGCAGGAGCATGGCCTAATGGGGTGAAGATGAATATGCTTTGGAATCAGATATATCTAGAGTTAACCATTTGCAGGAATTCTTTTAAATTGTCCATATGAGTATTTTGCCAGTTGTGTGTAGAAGCTAACTTTTCTGAAGTTATAACATGTCTTATTGCAGGTCTAGTGCTTTTGGAACATTTTTAATTTTGGTAAAATCTGATTTTGTATCTTCCATGGTTTGTACTTTTTATATCTTGGAATAAGATATAAAAAGAACCCTTTGCCCTTAGGTAGCAACAGTATCTTCTCTGTTTTCCTCTAGCAGAGTTATGGAATGGGCTGTTTATCTTCTGGTTTATACCTCCCTCTCATTGAATTTTGTGAAGGGTATGAGTTAGGGTCCAACTTCGTATTTTTCCAGGAGGGTAATCTACTAGTCTTTGTACCTTTATCAAATATTCCATTCCTTTTCCTGGACCCACAGTGGCACATCTGCTGTGTATCACGCTTCTATATACGGAAGGAGCTGTTTCTGGACTCTGTTCTGTTAGCCTGTCCCTTTGCTAACTTTGCCCTGCTTTATATTACTGCAACTTTACAATACATTTTGATAACCAGTGGGGAAAGTCCCTCTAACTTGTTTTTCTTATCTGAAACTCTCTTTTCTGTCACTGGTCTTTTGCTCTTTCATAACACATTTAGTCCCCAACCCCCGCACCCAAAATGCGGCCGGTATGAACTGTACGAATACAGATTGTCTGGTATTTGTTGAGACTTATTTTGTAGCCCAATATGTGACCTATTTGCATAAATTGCTAATCCTAGAGAAAAACACACATTCAAACGGAGTTTGAAATACATCTATGGATCAAGATTAATGACTCGTGATGTTCACATCTTCTACATCCCGACTAAATCTATTTTGTCTGATATTTGTAGAGCTTTCTTTATGTTTGCCTGATGTATTTTTCCAGCTCTTCCCTTTTAATCTTCTGTGTCTTTATGTTTAGGTGTGTTGCTTGCATAGAGCACAGAGTGGGTGGAGGTTTTCTTACATGTTTTGGTTTTTGTCTAAACATAAAGCTAAGTTTAGTCTACGTTACATTTATTTAAGTGATCTGTGTATTTTGACTTGTTTCTGTCAACTTCTTTTGCTGTCTTGGGTTGCTTGCTTTCCCTCTTTTTTCCTGCCCTCTCTTGGATTGAATTCCAGATTTCATTCTCTCCACTTACATCATCGAGTAGGGCAATTCTATTCTATTAGGGTTGTCCTTAAAATTTTAACATGATCACAAACACACCAGACACCAAAGTTAGTCCTTTTACTTCCCTTTTGAGGCATAGATCATTCATGAAATGCTTTAAGTAATCCTCTTCATTGGGTGAGGACTGTTGCATTCTACACTATACTAGATTGTGTGTGTGCATTTGTGTGTATGCACGTGTCTGTGTGTGTGCGTGTGTGTGTGTGCATACATATGAACCCACCTGAAATACAACCTTTACAGAAATTTTTCTGGTGAGGTCCTATTTGTAAAAAACTTTCTTACACTTCATTTCTCATTTTTTAAATTTTCTTCTTCTTCTTGAATGGTATTTTGGTTGGAAATACAATTCTGAGTGGGTAGTTGCAGCTTTTGAAGATTTCTGTGTTAGAGTGAGTTAATGTCTGTGGATATAGGCCTGGTCTTTCCTTATAAGCACTGAAGGGATTTAGTGCCCAGGAGCCACAGAGGCTCAGGGGACCTTCCTGGTGAACAGTTTCCTCCTAAAGAATCTTCCTCATGCCCACACCATTAGTCTCTCCCCTGGAAATGTGCTCTAGGTTGGGGGCCTCATGGATTTTCCAGGCACCGCCTTGGCCTTGGGAGTAGCCCCCACTCTCCCATCCTAAATCTTCTGTTTTGGGCTTGGGCATTTCTGGGAGCTTAGCTTTGCATTTAAAAGCGATTTTGCTTTATTTTATTTGGGATTTCTAAGGTTATGTGGATGTAGTTTTGCTGTGTCTGGCTACCCAGCCTGCAATCTGGCTAACAGCGAGAGTCCTTTCTTGCGTTCTCCTGCCATGTCAGGGCATCAGCTCTGCCCCGGGCCTCAGGCTCCACAGTGGGGATGTGCAGGCACAGAATTTGCTGTACAGCCTGGGGGTCCCATCTGCAGACTGCGGGGTGTACGCTGCCTTGTGAGTCGTGAAGCCCGAGCTTGGTGCTGAGCCAGCCGTGGCTCCTGTAGCCAGAGAGCTTAGCGCTGGCAGGCCATGTGCTCCGCTCAGCCTCTCCAGGTCGGGGCCATGCTTGCCCGTTCTGGCCCAGCATGTAGGCTGCTGCCTCCATGCAAAGGACCAGTGGTGTTTTATTCTTACACCAGGGACCATATGACATAGTTGATTGCCACCAGGTGAACCAAGCCACTTCTTTGATCACTACAGTCGTAACACGAGTAGTTATGAGAAGTAATGTGAGTAGACCAAGAGCCAGACCAAGAGGGGGTGAATGGCGGGTCCCCCACCCTCCAAACTATACAAGGTGCATTCACTTCTTGGTGGAGAGGCCAGCGCAGGGCACAGCCCCAGAGCTTGGCTGGCTCAGAGGATGGCTGCCTCCCTTTGCTTCCCACCAACTTAGTGTTTGAGTGGGGGGTGGGGGGGTAGGGGACGGGGGAAGCAAGCAGTTTAGGACCATGTTGCCATGTTGGACTCAGGCAGCCTTTTTGCAGACTGAGACTGTCACCCGCAGTCCGCAGGCTGCGCTTCCCAGTCCGTTCTCCTGTCCGTCTTCTGGCTGGAGTGAGGCGCTGCCTATGATCTGGGGTCCAGGGCCAGACGGGCTTGGTCACCGCGATGTCATCCGGTTAGTGGGGGGTTTCCCTGCCCGCAAGTCTTACTGTCCGCCTGAGCTGCCCAGACTGCAGTGTTGCTTGATGGTGTCTTGTCTCTTGTAGGAAATGGAAAGTTTTCAGCTCCAAGTCTCCGCAATCTGGGTCTATGTGATCTGGATCCTGCAGTTTCAGATGCTCTGGAAATCTGAGCAGCCTTAATGTCTTTTCCTTCACTTTTGCCTAGGATGTGGTGGGAATTAGTGAATGTGATGTTTTAAGAGGCTTATGGTTTGTCAGAATTGTCAACAACAGCCATCTTACGCGGTCAGGGCTGAGTGTTTGTGTCCCGGGGTGTCCCTGCAGACATCCTCATGTCGGGGAGCTAGGGCTTCGTAGACAAATTGGAGTGGGATACACCATAACAATTATTATATATTAGAAATAATAAAACTATACTACAATATAAAATAATAATAGCAGTGGTAACAATAAGAATAAAAACAAGCCAGGTGCACGGAGCCCCTCCTTGGAGGGCTAGCATTCTGCGTGCATGTCATGAACTGGACCCCACGCCCAGGCATGGCTTGTGGCCACACTTCCACCTGCTGACGCATGTGCTCCTCTGGCTTGTCTTGCAGGGCACAGCCTCTGCAGTGAGCAGAGCAGCAGCGCCGAGACGGCCCCGGAGGAGAGCGAAGGACCAGGCGTGGAATCCTCAGATGACACCGACCACAGCAGCAAGGTGAGAGATTTTCATTTTCACATCTCATGGCTGGAGCCACCGAAGAATGCAGCCGACAAGTCACCTTTGCAGCTGTGCATGGTTAGAAACCTCTCCCTGGACCAGGTGTTTTTACTTCTGAGATGGTGCCAAACAAGATAACTTGATCACAAACCCACATGTGAGAATATAGAGTGGAAATACCCCTTGATGACCCGACGTCTGGTTTCATCCCTTTCCCTTCTCATGTCCCCATCAGCGCTGGCTGGACCGGCATCCCGGACGCGTGTGATTGTTACTCTTTCTCACGATCGATGGTCTCTGTAATGAACTCCGTCTGCATGATCTGTGGTCATATATTGTTAAAGGTCAGCCTCCTTTATGCTCCAGGGAAAGGAACAATCTTTTTATTAATCCAAATCGAAGCTTCCTCGGTCAGCTGAGCACTGTGAGCAAGTTCTTATTCCAACTCTTTGGTGCAAGGCTGGGAATTTGTTTTCCATAATTCATCCTGCTTTTATCCCACTCCACAGAGTTCCATGGGGCCAGAGCCTCTTCTCCAACAGCCATTTAAAAACCCCTGTGTTCTGAAGCACAGCCATTTAAAAACCCCTGTGTTCCCCCTCGTACCCCCACCCTCTTCCCCTGCAAGAGCGGTTGCGTGTGGTTCCATATTTATTCATCTTTTAAAAATAACGCTGTTTGATGTATTTATGCTGAGCCTTCCAATGACTTCTCATTTGCTTGTCTGATACTTGCCAGTCACTTAGCCTGGGCAAATCCTGTAACTTCAAAAGATATCTTTGTTTTCTCATCTGCCATAGTACCAGGGTGATCCCTGCCTTTGGCCAGTGATTGGATGATTTAGGCGGGTCACATGCTATAATGCACACATCAATGGTGGAAATATCCTCTCCCAATATGAACCATGATTTCGAAACCCATGTTGGACACGCGGCCTTTTTCGTGTCTCTGTATTTATGCTTCTCTGTAGGACTTTCTTGGGTGTGTGTGTTTGACTTCCATTAGCATTTCTTTTACACATATCATATGTGCCTCTCACCTGTGAGGATCCTCGTTCTCAGTGCTTTTTAATATTTATTTATGCATACAAGAACTGGGGTAAGGTCAGAGGTGTGGGGGGTGAGAGGATTCACCAGAGACAGAGTGGGGAGCAGAACAGGCAGATCTATTGAAATACACTGCTGAGGGGGGCAGCATGGAGGTGGGAGAGGTCTGCTGTGCCATGTGGGTAGCTTCCTGGGTGGGGATTGAATTTGTGCTGCAGTGGCTGTGGATAGCTTCATAAGTTGTGTCTTAACCCCCTTTGCCACCAGGGAGGCCCCCTCAGTGCTTTTTATGTTGAGCACAGTATAAAATGAAATATTTGAAACTTATTTTAATATTGGTAAATTTAGTATTAATCGATGGAAAGTCTTTATGTTGTTAGTTAAAAAGCAGATGAATAGAAATACACATGTCTCCCTTAAAGTTAACATGGAAAGCCAAGCAAACATTTGATTAAAGTTACTTTTTATTTTTGTGATTCTTACTTTTACCTACTTTTGGGGGGAATGGGGTAGCACAAAGGAATGGTTAGTGCTTACAAGACAAACAGATATTTCCTGAGTGAGGTAAGATATCTGGAAGGGTATTGATTAAGTTATCCTATCACTGAAACTTAAAATGTTAATTCTCCATTTCTAATTTGGGAAAATAGCTATTTTTCCTGTACCTAAGACATTTATTTCTGAATACTTTTGAATTTGGATCATTTTTTACCTCACTGTAATAACAGTGTTCTCATCACTTGTGGGTTTGGAGGGATTGTTTCTGCTTTCAAGTCTGTGAGTCATGAAGTTCTCAACAGAGTCCTCGATAATGTTTGGTTCTAGTGGTGGACCCGGAGAGGAAGGAAGAGGCCCCAGGTTTTTGTTTGACCCCAGATGCCCCCCTTTCTTCAGTGTTCCATCTCCAGAGAACAAAGTCCTAAACTCGTCTGGCACAGACAGGGTCAAATATAGGAGCAGATGTTTCTGTTTCTGAATTTCTGTAGAAATGCATGATGGGCTCTCATAATAGAGAATTTCCTTCAAAATGATTGACACATTTGGGTGGTTTGAGTATTTTTAAAGCTGGTTCAGAAGACTACATTGAAACCATTGGTCATCTACTCCTTTTCACTAGATTGGATGTAGGGGATACGGGGTGATTCTGTACCCCCAAAATACTTTCTGGTTTTGGTCTGATTCAGATTTTATCTTCTTTATTTGAGCTATTTAGTCATGCTACTCAACTAAAAAAGCCTTTAATGAATTAGATTTCTCACTTAGGATATTTGAAATGCAAAACCTTGAGCAATGGTTTTTAGAGGCTGCATCCTACTGTGTTTTATTAATAATTGATGAAAGCTAATACTTATCTAGTGCCTTGTATATAATGGGCCTTGTTCTGTATTAACTCATCTCATCTTCACTATACCCTCGAGAGAGATACTATTATCCCTCTATTTATAAATGATAGCTATTTTATAGGTATTGGAACAGAGAGGTTCAGCAACTCCCTGAAGGTCACACAGCTCTGTGATGGCAAATCCAGGTCTTAGTTAATTGCTATGTGAAAATTGCCTTTGGCCAGATTGTTATGCTGTTTAATACCAGGCTTCATAAAAGGAAGGAATGAATTAGTGCTGGTATAAGTCAGTTAGCTATATACTCAGAAGCCCTTTAAATGTTTTCCTAATGCTTTACCTTTCTGGGTATCTTTTTATGGTTTAAAGTAAGAACAGACATATCAAGTCTCTTGATGAAGTTTATTTTTTGCTATATCTCCTATATCCAAGTGTAATTTTTCTGGAGAATAAAGTGAACTTTAATTGTTAAGTTGTAAGCTGCCTAAACCTGCAAGAGTATTTTAGTCCTAATTTGAATGCAGGAGGAAAGGTAGAAACAGATACGTTACTGAATGCACTGTAATGAAATGTACTCACTAGTCATTTTTTTATCCTGGCTGATTGTATTTGTTTATTTACTTCTTCCTAAATCAATTATTCTGTGAAATACTGGGCAGGATAAAGCGAGCCCTTGATGAAGTGTGTGTGGTTTTGGACTTTTTTTTTTTAAATAACAGTTTTTGCTACACCAGGCCTTGCCGGATGAGTGAGCGGATACTTGGGAGCTTGTGGTTGGGGTGGGGGGTGGCCCTGGAATGTCACATCCACAGTGGGGGAGGGACCTGCCCACCGCAGGGGCGTCCAGCCGCCTCCTTCCTCTGGTGTCTGTGGTGATAGCCTCAAAGGGCCTTCCTCACGACTCTCACTTCCCCACTTTTCATAGCTCTTGTCCCTGGAAATGCTAATCAACTCCGGACACTCAGTGTCCTGCATTCCAGCCCCTGGCGGCTGGGAATTTGTTTCCAGTTAGCCACAGGAGCAGAAGAATTTTCAGAACATTTCCACGTTCAAAGTTGCCTTTTTCTTTTTGAATCTAAAATGTTGTCTCAGCACCTCCTGCTCTTGCTACAAAGCATTAGCTGGGAAATGTGAATACAGCGAACTGTTAAGGAAGCAGTTTGCTCTCTCCTGCCTGCTCCCTACTCAGCGAGGGGGGTCTTCAAAGTTGCTGGCGCTGGTGCTGCATGCTCATTCGGGGCCAGTGTAGGACGCCGGCCAATCAGCTGGTCCTGGTCTGCAGCGTGGAGAACTCCCATCCGTGGAGGCGTTTTTCTGCTTTTGTTTCTTGCCTGCCCTCGCTCTCCCGTTCTGGAACTTTTGTTGTGTAGCCAGGTGAAATCAAAGCACCGACTCTCCTCCAGGGCTAAACCTTTGACGCCCCCCCCCCCCCCCCCCCCCCCCCCGGTGGGCACTGAGGGGAGGTGGTGCCGCTCTGGAGGTTGCACTGGAAGGAGGTGCTGCTCTCGGGGTTGCATGGTTGCTGTCCTTCCTGTGCAGAGATGCAGCCGTGGGTTTTCGTGTAGAGCCACAGGGGCGCTCTGTCTGCGAGGATGCTCTCTTTGGACCCAGAAGGCGTGGAGTGTTCCTGGAATAGGTCAAGAAACTTCTGTCTCTGTGTCGAGCACGTCAGGTGGTAGAATTACCATGAGAATCTATTCCTGATGATGTCTGCCTTGTGGAAAATAAAGCGCAAGCCCAGGATGGAAAACAATGCCAAGCCCGGTGATTCTGTCTGCCGGACACTCCATGGGGTGAGCCCTTTGCCTGTGCCTGTGCCCTGTCATCTACCCCCAGACCCCCCCACCCCCCGGCCGCTCTGTGTCCCGGAGAGTAAAGGTGCTGATGCTCATCCCCTGGCACCCTTCACCCCAGGGCCCCTCATCTCGTTCCCACACCCGGAGAGGGAGGGCGTCTGTAGTTGCTGGGAAGTTGGATTTGCCTAGTCTCTTCCTAGTGACTGGTTTGTCATGTTTCCATGGCAGAAAGACGGCTTTTGTATTTCTTTTCACTGAGTGTCATTTGACCTGTTCCCTCTTTCCTCTGATGTCGAGAGTCCGGCAAGCCCCCCTGACGGGTCAGGCTGGGTGGTTGGGGTGTTCCCCACTGTTGCTGGGGGAGCGGCCATTCAGCCTGGCTCCTCGAGTTTTCAGTGCTTTTCACTTCACTGCTGCCTTCTTGGGCGGGAGACTAGGGCAAGTGTTGGCTTGGGGATGTGTTGACAGTTTGGTGGCCGCTGACCTACCTTGTGCAGGTCAGTTCTGTAGTAAATGTTACCCCCTCGTATGCAAACTTGGCAGTGAGTGGTGAGGTTTAAATCAATAAAATCAAATTAAATCTGTGATCGAGTAATGCTAGTAGCAGAATAGGTCAGCTCTCAGATTTGGGGTCATTTAAGGAAACTTGAGCTTTGGCATTTGGTGCACCTGATTTACCTCAGTAAACTTTGTCCTTTTTGGGTGTTTCTGCAAAGGTTGTTCGGAAATGACTGGAAAGGTGGTAGAGAACTCTGGGGCTCGCACTGTGTGTCTGATCTCTGCAGCGATGGAGTGTATTGCATGGCTGTTTTTCTCCCCAAAGCTTGAATAAAGCCCATCAAATTTTAGGTCACTTTAGCCCCTTTTAAGTCTGTAGGAGGTGCTACCTTGGTCCGTTTTAGAACTGAACTCTTCTCGAGACAGAAATTGCCTTTGGTGGTTGCATAACAGGAAGAGCTTCGACAGCCAGGTTGCCTGAGTGGGGAATGGGTGCTTCAAAGTCTGCCCCCCCACCCCCTTTGTACTTTCTTTTCAACTTCCACAGGAAGAGAGTGACATTATAAACGGGGAGCTCCGTGCCAGCCACAGTGAAGTGCCATGTCCTCTTCTTCCTCTGGGTTGGTTGGATAGTTCTTAGACCTGACAGGGAGACAGCTCTCCCCCTTAAAGCTGTTTTAAACCTGCAGCTCTGAAATGCTCCAAGTGCGGCTCTGTTTCCACGGTGATTGTCGTCCTCAAGTGGGGAGAGTTTCTTCTCCTGTTGGAGAGCCTGGGCTGGCTTCTCAGCAAGTCTGAGCTCCTTGTGCCAGAAACTTGGCTTTCAGGAGTGTGTTGAGATTCCTCCTGACAGCGGGGTCTGGTGTGTGAACGATCAGGTGATATGACTCTGTCATCATCGGTGGAGGAACGGGGTGGGCATAGCACCCACTCCTGTGTCCCACATCCAGACTTAAGCCTTGTCTATGAGGTGCTGGTGGATTAGGTGTGTAAGAATTAGTGGTTGGGCCTCCCTGGTGGCACAAGGGTTAAGATGCAACCTATGAAGCTATCCGCAACTACTGCAGCACGAGTTCGATCCCCGGCCAGATGTGACCCACATGGTGCAGCAGACCTCTCCTTTCTCGCCCTCTGCTCCCCTCAGCAGTGGATTTCAGTCAGTCTGCCTGTTCTGTTTCCCACTCTGTCTCAGGTGAATCCTCTCACCGCCCCCCCCAAAACCTCTGGCCTGTGCCCCAGTTTCTGTATGCATAAATAAATAAATCTTAAAAAAAAAAAGAATTAGTGCTTACCGAAGGGAAGAGGGAGTAAGGCAGGAAACAAGGGACATGGGGACAATCACCTTTAAAGGTGAGCTTGGTATGTACACATGTGTGATTTTCAATGAAGAACATCTGAGATTACGTGTTATAATGAGGTGTTATTTCCCTTAACAAAAATTAAAAAGGGAAATAAGCATATGTTTCTTTAAAAATTTTTTGGTCACAGTCGGGGATCAGGGGGACTATGAAACTGGGCCACAATATGTAAGATTTCTAAATTAGAGATATTCTAAAGAAGACTTGCACACCCTATTACCTTCTAAGGATATTTTTGGGTCATATTTGAGGAGAAAAATATCCTGAAACTTGATGACATCCTTTTAGTTGTTTCCCAAAAATCTGTGAAGCACCTTCTCTGTAACACCCCTTGACAGTTACATATCAGAATCTGTGTTTTTTTTTTTTTTAAACTTAAATAGCACATAATTGACAGTAAAAATATTATTGCCATTTCGATCCAGTTCCTTCTGATAATCCTGAGACTTTGTAATTGGAATCAGAGTGGCAGGCTTGGCAGTGGAGACTGCTTTGCCCCTCTTGAACTTCAAGGTTGTCCACTAGATCTAGCCTAAGCTGAGCAGTGTCTCTATAAGGAAGAAATGCCTGAGGCTCTGAATTCTCAGGAGACTCAAGGGAATGTTTAGGTTCCACCGGGATTCTGAAGACATTTCCTAGTATTTCAGGACTTGGCTCAGGGGGGACATCAGTGAGTAGCCTGGTTGTTTAGGGAGGAAGTTGCATAGGAGAGGGCTACATTTAGAACAATAAAGCTCTAACCTACCCCCACATCCCTCGAACTGAACTTTCCCCTGAGACCTGTGAAACAAAAAGGACCTTAGAGGTGGTGAACTTGACACAGGCAAAGACAGGAACCCTCCTCACACTTTGAAAAATGGAAACCTCAAAGTATCTGTGAAGAAAAGAAGGGAATGAAAACCCAGAAATTCCATCCATGGCCCTTATTATTATGCGCAGACATAGCTGAAAATGGCAACAGGATAGTATAGTGTGTGTTGGGAGCACAAACAGAAGTGTCTTTTGGAATTTTCAGCCTTTGGTATGTGTCCTTTTCAAATTTTTGCCTTTGTTTTTTAAAGGCTGGGTGGAAATTAGGATATATTTCACATGGCAACATGTCTGAATGATAAAACTGAAAAAAGTGCCTGAATTCTCTGATGGGAATGCAGAGGTGGGTATATTTACCATGCGTAGAAGCTTTGATATTAATTTGCAGTGTATGTCAGGCAGCTGGAGTTACTGTTGGCACATTTAGAAAAACATCATGTAAGCGATGGTGCCATTTATACATTTGTTGGGTTCCTTTGCCAAGTGCCAAGTTAAAGCAAAGAGGAGAGTTTGGGATAAGTTGGAGGGCAGGGCAGTTAATTGTCAGCCATTCTTTGTTATCACTGGATAATTAGAAAGATGTGTAAACTGTTCCTGTTAAATTTGTTCCTTTTTAACTTAAAGCCATGTTTAACTGAATATTTAAGGTGACTTTAGTTAGTAAAATCTTACATAACTAAATAAAACTGTTGCACTTATCTCTGTGAAATAAACTTTGACTAAAAACAAGTAGCCTTTCTTTTTTCATAGCCATACTGAGATATGATTCACATGTCACACAGTTCAGACCATTTTGGTGAATTTTTCATTAGTCACAGGAGGGAAAATTCTTCCCAAGGACAGTCAGTGTCTGAAACACAATTCCACAGCAAACGTGGGACAGTGCCACTGACAGGCATCCAACCCTTTCTGGTGTGGAAAGCCACGGTTAGTGCAGCAACAAATCAGCTATGGTAATTGGAAGAGAATTGGAATAATAATTAAGTGGGTTTGCATCTGCCTCTACTCTTTTCAGTCATAGCTTTTCTGCTGATGCATCCTTGTTCCATCCTGATTTCCCATATCCTTGAAATGTCTTTATTGCCAGCTCCCTTCCCTTTGGGATATACTAATGAGGGGAAAAGGGAGTTAATGTTTGCTTCCTTCTTCAGTATTTAGAAATTATCCCCATGGGAGATGATTGGATGCAGGTCCTCTGCCCTTGACACCAATGCCAGCCTTGACTTTCTGCTCTCTGTGCTAGCTGTTCTTCTCACATTCCTCCTGGGGAGGTGGGTGATAGAAGACTCATTCCTTATACATGTAGGTCTTTATTGGAAATACTTTGTACCTAGGCATGAATTAGACAGTAGACACAGGGATGAGAAGTATGGACAGATGGTTACCACCTTCAAGGAGCTCTCCATCAAACATTTGTACAAACATTAATAAACTAGATTTTGTGCTATAGAATAGCCTGGAGTGATTCCCCAGAGACATTTAAATCATGCTACTTGCTTAGCTCATCCTAGAGATTCTGACTGAATGAATCTGGAGGGTGCACTGGGCATTGGGAGGTTGGCAGACCTCACTCTAGGTGATCCCATGTGCTGCCATTGTGGAGAAAGCTATAGCCCATGCTTTAGGGTGCTGTTGAGAATAACTAGAGAAGTTAGAAATTTAGAATCCTAGAATCTGACACACCTGCCTGAATCATCCTGGACAGAGATTAGGTGGTGGTTGGGCTCTCACTGAGGCTTTGTTCAGAGTTCAGTGCACTTTAGTCTTAGCGGGAAGGGGTATCTTTTAGCCTTTGGAGAAAATGGAGAGATAAGAGACCTAAAAAAAATCAAGTGTAGGGGTAAGCAGGCACAGGGTGGTCAGGTCCATGGTTGATTTAGGCAAACAGATAAAGGACTCTTGGAGTTCTAGGTCGATTTAACAGGCCTTTAATGCTGCAGCAGGGACCCGGCTCCACAAGCAGACCAGTGGGAAGGGATACAGGGAGGCTGGGAGGCAGGCAGCAACAAGCCTCCTTGTCCCTACAATCTCTGCACACTCTCTCTGACTTCTCTTCTTTCTCTCAATCTCTCCTAAAATCTCTCCCAGGCTTCCATTCCTATAGGTATGCGTGCCCTGTGCTCACACTCCTCCACCCGGGTATCCGTAATTATAGGGGCACATGCCTTGTGCTCACATTCCCATGCACCAACATGATATCATGTGCAGATAATGATACCTGGGTGGAGACAAGGCCACAGGAGGTAGCTGTAGGGGCTAGTGGTGGAAAGGCAAAAAAGAGCCCAATTTACTCCAGTTTCCCGGCAATGAGTATTTGGCCTTTTCTAGAGCTTCTTTGGCGTCCTTTTTTAACAGAGCCAGGAAGAATCCAAGCTTGTAGAATTATCTTCCAACATTGCAAAGTGATTCTGACAGTGCACTGAACTAGGAGTCTGATCATCACTAGCCTTGTATTTTGGGTGAAACATACTTCTCTGTATCTCCATCTGCTCGTTGGCAGTCTCCTTGCAGAGAGGTTAAGGACACAGGTCTTGAGCCACGCTGCCAGGTTCAAATCCCAGCTCTGCCAAGTTTGAACGGTGTGATCTTAGATGAGTTACTTAACGTCTCTGAGCCTTTGTCATCTTCACTGTTACGAGGGAGTGATACTGGGCCCTCCTTACCAGCTGGCAGGACTGAACGCTTCCGATCAGCCGCCGGCTGGTCTGCAGTGGGCCCTCGGTGTGCGAGCACCCTCACATATGTGGAGAATTGGGGAATTGGGAATCCATGTGTGACTGCTCTGCAATGAGGACGGACAGGCATCAGGTGAGTCTGTCTAATGAGTGGTAACCTCATCTGTCTCGCCTTTCCCTCGGTGCTCCCAAGAGCACGGAACAGGTGGCCGCGTTTTGCCGGAGTCTGCATGAGCTGAACCCCTCGGACCCCAGCCCGTCTCCTCAGGACCCCACAGCGCCGCAGCTGGCCACCATGAGACAGCTGACAGATGCCGACAAGCTGCGCAAGGTCATCTGTGAGCTGCTGGAGACCGAGCGCACCTACGTGAAGGTGCGTGTTCATCTCCCCTGGCTTTCCTCAAAGGCGCCGGAGCAGTGGTGGAGTCTGCGTTGACACTGCTTTAGACTAACAGCAAAGCCAAGTCACGGATGCGAAGAGCATCTTGGTCTCTGCTGTGGAATTTGGCCTTTATTCTGAATGTTAAGATCTCCTTCTTGTTTGCAGGAGGCACGTCTGTTCTTACAGCAATTCACTGATACAACTCATTGATTGAGAAAGAAATAATAGTGAATATCCTTATAGCAATTCATTGATAGATATTTATTATATAATAATGTATTATAAATATATATATAATTGATCTATTGACTGAGCCAGGAGACGATTGTGAATATTAAGTAATTCTGACCTTTCTAAATATGTGTTGGGCTGATTCTTAAAACTGAATTCATTTTTGAAAAATTTAAGGGCACTCCTTCACAGCTGAGTCTAGGAGCTCAGCTGTTCTGACATTTAGTTATATTCCTGTAGCTATTTGATCCAACATATAATTTACCATATATTCCTTTCACTACAATAGTAGCATCATTATGTATTCCTTCACTGAATGGTTTAGTTATATTAATATTTTGTTATAAACAATGTGATCTGCTTTTAATGACTTATTTCAGCATGTAAAGCAGGGGTTAGTATATTGTGGCCCTTGGACCAAATTCTGCCCATGGGCTATTTTTGCAAATAAAGTTTTATTAGAACACATTTGTGTGTTGTCTATGCCCTCTTCCCTGCTGCAGCAGCTAAGTTGTGACAGACACCATATGGTCTGCAAAACTTGAAATATTTACAGAAAAGGCTGACTTACTTCTGCTTCAGTGGACCTTGATGACTTAGAGACTATAATGTTAGCATTTAGAACATACTTTGGTTTTTTTCTCCTTTTAGATTCTTTATAAAGACTGTTAGACTTTGGATATGCTAATGAGATATCCTTTTAACCTTTCAGGACCTAAACTGTCTCATGGAGAGATACCTAAAACCTCTTCAGAAAGAGACTTTTCTCACTCAAGATGAGGTATGGTAGAAATTGTTTTAACTTTGGGAGGGTCACACTGAGTTTGGCTTGGGGAAGAGGAAGGGCTGGAGTGTGCACGTAACATAGAAAGCATTTGGGGTTCATTTAATTGTCATAAATAGGTTAAATATTACCTGTTAAGCCCTTGGCTTGCACCCAAGGGTGCAAGGAGGAGCTGCCCCAGCCTCTGCTGGTGCGGTCATTCTTCTCTTAATTAGCTAGTTCTGATGGAAAAACTTTGAAATCAGAAGCAAATAAAGTTTCAGAACACTAATGAAATATGGAGTGAATTAAATTCTTTTTTTATCTTCCAGCTTGATGTGCTCTTTGGAAATTTAACTGAAATGGTAGAGTTTCAGGTAGAATTCCTTAAAACCCTAGAGGATGGTGTGAGACTGGTCCCTGATTTGGAAAAGCTTGAGAAAGTGGATCAATTTAAGGTAAGTCTCATCATGGGTGGATTTACCCTGGAGGTAAAGTTGAATCTCCCGCTAACATATCAAGAGGCTTCATGTGTGTGGTACTGAATCTTCCTGGTGCTGCCAGAGGGGGTCATCTTCTAAAGGAAGCCTGAGAGGGGAACTGGCTGTCTTCTTACTTGTCTGGCTAAGGTCAAACAATACATGGACTTGCACTTAAACTGGTGCATCTTTTAGGTTCTACTTTGGAAGATATACCAACCTTGACCTTTTGTCCTGTTTATGTGGGACCTTTAATACTTGCTGATGAACAAATTAGACAAGCACCCTTGGTTACTCAGTAAACACATTAATTGATGCTGTTCTGGGAAACTGCTAAATGGAAATGCTCATTGTTATCCAGGAGAAGACAACCTCCCCTCGCACAGTGTCCCTGCAGTCTTAACGAGGATTTATGACTAGCACTTCCATGAGGATGCTTACAGCTTATGTGCTCCCCTTTGCTTGGCTTTCCTTTACTGCAGAGATTTCCTGGGCTGTGCTTCCAACAGAAAGCATATGAATTCACACCCAAGGCGTTGACTTAACTCTCACCCCCGTAGACTTCTACAAAACAGCTTTGTTGAAGTATAATTGACATAAAATACACTGCATGTATTTAAGTGTAAAATCTGATGAGTTTTGACACAAGTGTACACTTGTGAAAACTTGAAGACAGGCAGGATAATGAACATGATCATCACCCCCAAACATTGTCTCCCACTCTTTGATGATTCATCTCTCCTGCGTCTTGCTGCCTCTCAGCCATGGGTAACCATGCCCTGCTTCCTGTTCCCATAGATGCCTTTGCATTCTGGTATTTTATATGAATGGAATCATGCAGCAGGTACTCTGTGTGCACCTTTAACTCAGCACAATCTTTCCATGGTCCATCCGTGTCGCTGCGTAGTAGTCAGTGGTGTGGATGCGTTACTCTTAGTTCTTCTTTCACCCCTCCTTAGGCACTTGAGCTGTTTCCAGCTGATTTTGGCAAAGCAAATACAACCGCTGGGAACACGTGTGCATCTGTTTTCATTTCTCTTGGGTAAATACCTAGGGTGTAGGGTAAATGAAATTTGTCAGGCTTTTATGCCATTGGCCTCTGTGGCTATCACCTGCGGCCTTGATCTTGTTAACATAGAGGGCGTGTGGGTTGGGGCACACGTGCCTGACTATGGACACCTGGGCATGGGTGTGTGCGCATGCGCAAGTGTGCACACCTGAGCCCAGAGGTCAGGCCTATAGGGGCAGCATTACTCGGATGAGGATGAATGACAGCTACAAGAGGAAGAGACCATGAGAGAACTCAGAGAAAGCCCAGGGAAAAGAGTGTATAGAGATTCGAGGAGGGCTCAGTTGCTGGCTCCCTGCTGGCTTGTTTCCCCTGCTTACCATTAAAACCTGTGAAAATGATGCCAAGGCTCCAGAATTCTCCTTTACATCTCTGAAACCAACAGTGAACCAACCCGGCCTGGGATGGTTGGGAACCAGACAGAGGATTGGTTCATGTGGCAAGTGTCTGGGCAGCTGTCAGGAAACTCCCAAGCTGTCTTGCAGAGCGGCTGTGCTGGGGCCTGTCCCTTCTCTCCCTCCCCACTCAGAGGTTATATTTCTGCAGCGCCCACTCTGTTTAATTCCGGCCAGTCTGGCGGGTATGTGGCATCTTGCATAGTTTAATTTTCATTTCTCTAGTGACTTCTGACACAAAATATCTTTGCTTATTTGACTCCAGTCTGTCCTCTTTGGTGAAGTGTCTGTTCAAATCCTTTGCCCATTATTTTATTGTTTTCTCATTATGAAAGTTCTCATTTGAAAGTTCTTTGGATATTTTGAATGTAAGTCCTTTATCAGATTATAATTTGCAAATATTTCCTCCTTGTCTTCTCGGACAGTGGCTCTCAAAGAGCAGAAGTTTGAAATTTGGATGGTCTTAATTTTCAGATTTTTTCTTTTTTGGGATCTTTTGGTGTTGTAGCTATGAAATCTTTGTTTTACTAGGGTTATAAAGATTTCGTAGAAGTTCTGTAGTTTGGGTATTTATATTTAGGTCTCTGATCTTTTTGGAATTATATTTATCATAGTGTGAAGAATGAGTAAAAGTCTGTATATGAACATCTAATTTTTCTGGCATAGTTTTTTTGAACTGCCTGTCCTGTTTCATGAATGATTTTGTGCTGGCGTTGAAGGCAATTCAGATGTCCCTGTGTGGACCACGCACATTGCAGAAACCTGGCTGTAATGTCAGCACAGCCTCTGTTGCTGCAGATTGCAGCAGCCCCAGATGGGAACCCAAGTGAGGGGACAGGGTTGCGGTGGCTGCTTCTGCACCCAACATGTGCCATTTCCATTGTCCTATAAACAATGCAGTATAATCACTGTTCACACAGCCCTCACATCGTACTAGGTATAATAAGTGATCTAAAGATGATTTACAGGGCACTGGAGGACACATGTAGGGTCTATGCAATTACTATGTCTCCTATACAAGGAACACGAGCTTCTGAGGATTTTGGTCTGCAGGGTCCTGCAGCCAGCCCTGGCAGCTACTGAAGGGCGGCTGTCTACAAGTTTAGAAGCCGAGGTGAAAGCTGCCCCGTCAGTGTGTTTTTTTGTGTGCCATCTCTTTCTACTGCCTCCTTAACAGGAGCTATTTAGAAAACCCAGAGCATTCATGCATCTAAGAATAGGAACATATATTTATATATACTCTCTAAATCCAAATAAAAATAATTTCAGACACAGAAAAGTTGCAAGAAGAGTGCAAAAAATACTTGGATACCCTTCACCCAGAATCCCAAATCTCTACATTTGCCCATATCTTTTCTTCTTTCTTTCCTGTCTCCTGTATGTATGTATATGTGTGTCTGTGTATTTGCTGTATATTGAGTATGATTTTTTTCCTGAACTATAAAGAGTGAGCTGCAGGCCCAAGGCCGCTTTAGCCCTAAGGATTGCCTGTAGTTCATTTGGGGTGTATTTCAAATGCATGGGTGGATTAACTTTCTCCTTTCTTTGGGATGGTTATGTCTCCATCTGGAATAACAGTTTGGTTCATCAGTTTCTGTTGATGATGACAAATCATTTCTCAATTAGTTAATTCACTGGAGAATGGGAGTATTCACTTACCCCTTCTTTTGCTATGGGGCCAGTTCTTGGAGGTTAATTCCAATGAGTTAATTGCCAAAGGAGAGTATGGTGAATAGAAATGTTCATAGAACAAATCTGAGTTTGGTGAACACAAGTGTGTTAGGAGAAGTTATTCCAGGGAGCGGCTGGCAGTTGATTTTTTTCCGCCAGCGAGTCTATTCTAAGCCGTCACTGTTGTAAATTCCATTTAGGTGGGCTTTTCTCCCTGAACTTCACTTTCCAGGTTTGCTGCATAAACTGACAGCCTCCACCCCCTCTGTAGGCCCGACACCTGGTGCACAGTGCATATCGTGCCCGAGGGCCTGTCGCAGCTTCGGAGATGGTTTCTGGGTTGTCAGTGTTCACCCCCAAACCTGCTGTCAGTTTCTGCAACTGCTGCTCTGTTTAAATTCTGACTGTGTATGGGGCCTAAAATATAAAAATGTTAAAATATTCAGACCATGTTGCATAGAGCACTGGTCTAAGGCAGTATTAGAAAAAAAAGGGTCTGCTGAATAAAGTCTATACAAATGTTGATTTATGACAACACGCACCTGAAATTTGTATGTTTCATGCAGTGCTACTTACCTAAAACATGAAATTAGTTCTTAAGCTAAATAAGTCAAATTTTGATAAAAGTGGAGGTCACATTTTGATAGTTTCCGCTTAGTGATTTGCAATGTCCATCAGCCTATGTGGAGTTTTGTGAAGTCCAGCAGAAGAGATACTCAGGGGAATTCCAATCGCTGTGTACAAACCCCTTTTCTTGGGGTCTTTTGTGCCCTGAGATCCTATTTTAAGGTCAGAGGAATAAATGAATACCTCCTGGTTCATCCCTGCTTGCTCCAGCATTTGTGCTTAGAAATATATTAGGGCAAAAAATGAGTGACTTGATGTGGGGGGTTACACTTGCAGCTTTTTCTTCCACAACTTTTCTGATTTTAATTATTGGGTGCCTCAAAGGTTCACTACCCCTGCAGAGTTCTTGGTCAAGGGTAAAGTTGGGATTGTAGGGGTTCTTGAGATGTAAAGGGAGAAAGTAGATCCTGTAGGAAAAGAATTTAGGTTTTTAATTGCCAACATCGTGTGGCAACTCTTTTGTTGCTGTAAGTAGTCTATCAGAATCTTCTGCATTATTTATTAGCAAAATTGCATTTCTGTGAACTAAAATTATCACTCAAATCTAAAACCTGATTTTTTTTTGTCTGCCTAGAACCTTTTATTCTATTTATTTTTTATTTTAGAGGAAAAACCCAAAACTGAAAACACTCACCACCATCCATTATAGCCCCTGGAACCTAACTTTTAATTGTAAGCCTGAGCATCTCGCTCTCTGAATCAGTAAAAGATGTTCTGGGTGCTGTGCTCAATAGCGAGCACTTAGCATCCTCCATAGATTCTGGGCCACTGCGGCTTTAAGTGAAACGACGCATAATGAAACTAGGTCCTTGATAATGTTGTTGGCTGGTATTCCTTTGTTCTCAGTGTTATAATAAAACAACATTGAATTAAGTGGTGTTATTTGAGGACCTGCAGTACGTTTATATAAAATGTGTTGGATAAGAAGTAACCCAAATCAGGCCATCTTTCCTCCCTGATGGTGACAGCCTCCCCCAGTGCTGCCCTCTTGGTGCAGAGACTCTGGGCTGGAGAGACGATGGCTCATTCCCATAGCCAAGCAGTGTCTTTGATCTAACTGAGCGTGTTTCTGATGCTCGGCTCCTGCTAGAGGAGAAAATGGTGATGGGGAGGGGGTGTAGTTAGCAATCGGGTGATGTGTTTTCTATTTTTGGCATCTCTTGACCTTTATTTGGTTTGCCACTTCTACCTCCTGATGGGAGCTAAGGAGAAATTTCAGATTTCTGTCTCTCCTGAAATGCCATGTATATTTTTCTCATTAATGTCCACGCTTCCCAGCCAGGCTCTGTAAAGGCAGAAGCCTAGAGAACCGGTGACATCTTCACTGTAATTGGCGAGAAGGCCAAATCCAGCATGGACTGCACGCATTTGTGAGCCCGCGTGCTCTATGATGGGCAGTTTCAGGTCACGGCTGAGCGAGGGCGCTGGGCCAGGTGGGGAGGATTAGTGTTCGTGGAGGGGGTAAGGCAGATGTGGCTTCCTGCGACATCCTGCGGCTATTTCCAGGGGAGACGGAAAATGAACTAACCGCGCTTTGTCTCATTAAATCCAGAAAGTGCTGTTCTCTCTGGGGGGATCCTTTCTGTATTATGCTGACCGCTTCAAGCTCTACAGTGCCTTCTGCGCCAGCCACACGAAGGTCCCCAAGGTCCTGGTGAAAGGTGAGGCTGTAAGACTGTGTGTGTGTGTGTCCTACTGTAGTTGGGGACTTTTGGACAGAAATCTAAGTCCAAATAAGACATTCCAACAAATAAGGACACTGAGAAATGAAATGCATGAATATCAATGATCAGTTTTGTCAGTTTCCTTATAATGAAAGTTTGATTCAGCTCTTTGGGGACAAATATTGATGGGTCACCCAAATATTGATGGGTTTTGCAATTATGCAAAAACATAGGGGGTTAGAAATTCCCTGATTTAGCCCTTGCCTTCATTAATTCATAATGATCAACTACATTTCATGTACCTCTTATGGAGTCTCACCTGCCCCTCTTTAAGTTCATAGGTGTGCACTAGCAGCCACCACCATTCACTCAGGAAAACCCCTCAAGTGGCAGTTGTTTCGCACAGAGCAATTTTTATATCAGCGAGCTCCTTTTCCTCTGTGTCGGAAAGATGATAGAACATTTTAGTAGCCTCCAAAATGTCGTTTTGCTTCCAGAGGTCAGCCTGGGATAGTTGGTGAGAGCTCAGAGGATCAGATAAACAGTTCCTTGGGAAACATTGTAGAGCTGATAGTGTGATTTCCTAGAAATCTCTGGAAATCAGCCTCTTTGTTCACACTGTAGGCAACTGCTAATCAAGTCCCTGAATATGCAAATCATTTACGTAGATTCCGTTTATGTTGCTGCCAAAGAGAACTAGCTGGAGTTAATTCAACACCTGTTAAAGGAAATTCTGGTGCAGGCCTGGGGTCTGGTAACAACAGACGGCCCCTCCCTAAGCAATGGCATCCTCAGTGATGGTGATTTCCGGTATAGCAGGGTCAGTTAAAGGGAAGCCAGAGTTTTCCTGGCCTGCCCTCCCACCTCCTCTAGAGCTTCGCTTGTGCCATTGGCCACATAGTTAGTTCTGTGTTTCCTTTTGGACTTTAACTGAATGTTCGTTGTTAGGAGATTGTTTGCATAACTGTTTTCGGGCATTTTGTTCTCTGGTGAATTATAGGCTCAGTATTGTCCTTAGGGCACTTAGTGTCACTTGTCACCTCTCATTTAAATTCTGCCCCTATGGATTTTTCTTAATTCGATGGCATCTCTTGCCCTTGAAAGATATTAGTGTCTTTCAAAACTGTCCTTTAAAATGTTTGATAGCACCCATGTTTTTTCTAATGGTCAAGTGTGCCCCGAGGATGAAGAGAACTCTTGGAGAGAACCCCTGGAGTCTGATTCCTCTTTATGGGGTTTAAAATGGATGAAAAGGTTGAGACCTTTATGAGCTCTTGCCTCTATGATTGCTGTTTGCCTTAGTTGAATAAAAACATCAAAAAGGATCATTTTACAATTTCACAAGACTCTCTTATAGTGTCTTGTGGCCTTAGCTCACACCTAGTCAGTAGACATGGAAACATATTTTTTATCACACTTAATATGTAGCCCCACTGTTAAGTCTCTTTGCTAAATGATCCCTCCTCCCTCCCATGTTGGCCCACACTGTAGGGCCCCTCACCATTTCTTTGTACCTGGAAGGCATTAGCCTTGTCACCCTAATTATCCTCTGCAGGTGCCCCTCGGTGTTCTGGGGACCCACAGCTCCCTCAGCAGCTTCTCAGACCAGCTGGGGCACAGGCAAAATCTGGGCTGGAAAGTGAGGCCTGTGTGAACAGAGGTAGCTGTGGGCTTCCCCACTGAGATGACTCCCAGTCCTGAGCAGCAAGGCCTCTCCGCAGATGCTAATTGCGGGTGGCACTGAATTAACATGGACCAGATATTAAAATGAACTCACTGTGGAAGACCCAGGCCTGCTCCACTTTCCCAGCTGCCAGGTGTGGCTGCTTCCATTTTTTCCTGCTGTTTCTTAAAAGAGCTTCTGCCAGTGATGAAATGCTTGAAAGATTGGGAACACCAGAGCCGGGAGTGTTCCAGAATGTAGGCTTTCTTTGTACTCACAGCAGGAGAGGGGAGCAGATCAGGAGACAGTTGCCCTGGGGCGGGGGGCAAGATGTGCAGGGCCACAGGGGAAGCCCTAGGGCGGGTTAAGAGGCCAGGAATTGAGGGGGAAACGTGGCTAGAGCTGTTGTCTTGGTTTCCTTGGGAAGGAACAAGGTTAGCAAGCCTGTGGATGGTTGGCTTGAATAATTTCAGCAGTTCTTGGGTGTGGGGGCTTCCCAAGGGGTATGGTACCAGAGCAGAGAGCAATGGCCCAGAGTGTAAGAGGCTAAGAGTCTGAGAGAAGAAGGGGTGTGTACATATGTGGGGGGCTCTGGATTGGTTAGACATGAACAAATATAATGAATATTCCATCTCTAGGACTTGCCAGCCCTGGGAGAGGCAGTTTCCCCAGGGTCTGTAAGGCCCCCATGTCAAAATATCAGAATAAAAAGACAATTCTAATATATGGAGGAGAAACAGCAGTCCCTGAAAGTCCATGTGTGTAGGATGTACAAACCGATTACCCCGTAATTCATTGGACACCCCCCCCATCAGCTGACACATACACGTGTCACCAGGCCTTCCACTGTCTGACCCCACACGCCCGCCTCAGACCAGTCCTGTAAAAAGGCCTCTTGGAATAAATGAGTGGAGCCCTGGGCAGAAAATCCCCTGGGCCTTCCTCCCCAGCCCTGTGCTTAAACTCTTCCAGCCAAGACCGACACAGCGTTCAAGGCCTTCTTGGACGCCCAGAACCCGAGGCAGCAGCACTCGTCCACGCTGGAGTCTTACCTCATCAAGCCCATCCAGAGGATCCTCAAGTACCCGCTGCTGCTGAAGGAACTCTTTGCGCTGACGGACGCGGAGAGCGAGGAACACTACCACCTGGACGGTAGGCCTGGGCCCCTCGGCATGATCCCCACAGGCCTGGGCCTGATCCCCCTGGCCTGATCCCCCTTCCCAGACCTAGGCACCCCCCCTTCCCCCCACTTGGCAGCTCCTCACCACCTGGCCTCTTGCAGTGGCCATCAAGACGATGAACAAGGTTGCCAGCCACATCAATGAAATGCAGAAGATCCACGAGGAGTTTGGGGCCGTGTTTGACCAGCTGATTGCTGAGCAGACTGGCGAGAAAAAAGAGGTACGGACCCCTTCTTGGGCCATCTCTCTGGAAAACTGGGTCCATTGGAGGATTCTTTTTAAAGGTGTTATTTTGAGGAAAATAGTTACGCACATACTGTTTTTATTGGTGGAACTTTTACTCTTAACCGAGGCCATGAAGGTGGGTTTTCTTCCTCAGCTGAATTCCACCTTCATAGAGCGAATGTGCTCTGAGTCTCACCCAGTCTCACCCCATCACCCTCGGGACCTCAGGGTTTGCTCTGTGTTAAAAGTGAGCAAATGTTCTCTGCCATCACCTGGCCTGCTTCTGTAAGCACTGCTCAAGGCCAACGCTATGACCCCAGGCCTAGAGTAACAGCCGGCGGGTAGTTTGTGGTCAATAAATAATTGTTGGGTGAAAAGTTTTATATATTTTGGGATCAATTTTTTTTTTAAGTTACCCAACCTATAAAACCCACTTAGAAGAAACAGTGACAGGAGCAGATGCACCTGAGGACAACTCAGGGAGACCTGTGAGAAGCACCCCCCTCCCAGACAAGAGCTCATGAGAATAAACGCTGAGGATCTGGCAGGGGTGAGAGGGGTGTGTGAGGTAATAGTCGTCATCCATGCTTTGTCCATCCTGATTCATCTAGAATGGATCTCACCTCAAGGAAAAGATGGAGAAATCCTGTAGGGCACCTGCTGTGGTTGGTAGGAGGGTGGAGGGAAGCCGGGTGGGTAGCTTGAGTGTAGACAAGAGCAAACAGCCTCATCTTCAGAAATGCTGGGGGGTTATTGTACAGGTTCTTTTTTTATTATTATTTATTTTCTTAGATTCCATAGTTCTCCTACCACCACAGCACCCTAGTCCCTTATGCTCTTCCCTCCCCTGTTTTGATCCTTCTCCATCCCCCCTCCACCACCGTGTGCCTCAATCTGTGGTCAGTTTGCAAGTTTGGTCTTTTTCCTGACCCTTCATTTAGTTTCTCGTTATTCTGCATTTAAGTGAATAAGTCAGAAGGAAAAAGATAAATATCAGTACTTTTTTTATGTTCTCAGGGAAACAAAAGTTTTCAGACTGTTCAGATAGTTTTCAGAGGTAAAATCAGCTCCTCTACATGTGACATGAACACACAGTAAGGAGTTCACGAATAAAGGAAACCAAGTAGGTATTGTCTTCCCTCACTGGGCAATGAAATGTGACATATTGAGATGCTGTGTCCCTGGAGACAAGCTGGTTTTCCCATAGCAGGTGGAAGTCAATTAGGTTGATTCCAGACTAGACAGAGTGTATAGGTTACCTGTGACCTGTACCTTCTGAAGGACCCCTAGGTGCCCCGAGACAGCGCCCTGGGTTGGAATCTGCAGTCTGGTGAACCAGGACGGTGTGCAGGAGAGGATGCAGAGTTTTCCATGGAAATGCAATTTGTTTTTTCTGCATGATAATTATAAGGAACAGATGTCCTTAGTCAGCTTGGCAGAGAATTTAAGCAGAGTATAGAAGAAATGGACATAGATATTCTGAATTTAATTCTAATTTTATTGTAGAACATGTCTCAGAAGAAAAATAGATTGTGCTCATTAAAGAAAAAGGCAAAATACAAAAAAGACAAGGGAAAAAACTATTTACAACCTCAATATACAGAACTCCACCACTTTTAATGTTTGGGTGTTTCTTGTGATTTTATATATAAATATAGATGTGTGTGCTTGAATAATTATAATTTATAGTAATTTTGTACCTTCATTTTTTATGTTGACTAATGAATGTCCATGTATGTTAAATTTATTCAAAGGACTCATTTAAATTTTTGGACAGTACTTCATTGTACTAGTGAACAGTGATTTCCTTAATTCCCATTGTTTGAACAGTCCCCTTGGCATCGTTTTGGACTGCTATGAAAAATATTGCAATTTTTTTTTAATTGTAAGACTATCCCTACCCATATTTCAGTTTATTTTATTTTGACAGAAGTGAATTTTTGAGGTCATGAAAATGAACATTTTCATTACATTTTTTATTATGTGCAGAATTAATTTCTGGATTTTAATCATCTTGGGAGCAAAGGATCTTTTCAAGATTAGCAGGTGATATGATGGTAAAGTGCAAGGAGTTTAGAAAAAAAGATGAATGTGATTCAAAAGTCAGAGACTATAAAAGGGGACTATGGCTTTGGTGAAATTGCTCATCCTCTTAAATGAAATTCTGACAATCAAGTAAGAAATCTCCCCAGTGAGGAACAAAGAGATACAGTGCTGTACAAAGTAGGCTCTTGTGAGCTGAGATTTTGTGAAAAGAAATGTACCAAAGATGCCGGGAGCGACATTTGAGTGAGTGCCCGAGCCAAAAAGGAGTGCTATCCTGGGCCAGTATCAGGTGGCCAAAACCCAGAAAAATGAAGCTTAGGAAAAGTTGTCAAAGAGCAGCAAAGGATTGTTTTAGCATCACAAAAGCAGTAAGAAGGAAATGGACAATATTTGCTTCCTCCCACCCCCTCAGATTGAGTCCCCATAGAATCCTTCCCGAAGGCACCCATGCACCATCACCACAGTCCCCTGTGCTCCTCCCTCTCTCCCTCCCTCTGCTACCCATCCTACCTCCTCCCCGGCAGGATGTCTCTGGTTTATAATTGTCTGTTTTTGCTTTGTTGTGTTTTGTACTGTTATTATTTTTTTACACTGATGTCTTATTTGGTTCCCCTATATTCCTGCTATAAGTGAAACCATCCGATATTTTTCTTTTTCCTTCTGGCTTATTTCACTGAGCATAATTCCTTCTAGTTCCATCCATGTTGCTGCGAATGGCATGAGTTTATCTTTTTTGATTGCTGAGTAATATTCCATTGTGTATATATGCCACATCTTCTTAAAAAATTTAAAAAATGATAAATGTTAAAGTAAAAAAATTAAAATAAATAAAAATAAATATGGGCCCCCCATAGGGGGCCACGGGTATAATAATAGCCAAAGACAATCGTGCCTCAAGGAAAGTGACCCCAGTCCATTTGCTCTTTCTGTGCTCCGCTGAGGAACATGGCCTTTACCCTGGACAGGGAGGAAGGGTCTGGGGGAACTGGTGGGTCCTTGGGTCTGTGCTCAGGTCACTACAGCACTACCTATGGGGTGCACTGGACACTCCAGAAACGTGGGGATGCAGGGACTGGAGATGGGCACGTTGTGGGCAGGTTTTCACAAAGCTGATTCCTGACTGTGGCTGTTCCCCTCCAAGGAGACCCATTTGGCACCCACATGGCTTCTTGAACACTCCGCAGGGGGTCAGGAGCTGCTGGGGATAGTAGGTTTATACCGAAATGGTTGCAGTCCCAGGACCACCAGGCACCGAATCCTGCCTTAGGCCTGCTCCCCTCAGGAGACAAGCTGGCAAAGGCACATTTTATGATGCGAATGTGCCTTTCGCTTCCTGTTTCCCTGGGTGCTGGCCTACAGAGAGCATCCCCTTTGCTTAGGTTGGAGGAAATAAAGGCCAAAGGGTGTGTTTCTCCTCAGAAAAACGTCCACAAAACCTCACTCAGCAGGTATTCTGGTCCTTGTTGGGGTAGAGACCTCTCAGCAGAACTCATGAGGTCTTGGGACTTGGGTAGAAGATTCAGAAAGGGACCAAGAAAAGACCAAGGGAGAGAGACCTTCAGCCAGAGGGAGCAGCCCTGCCCCTTATACCTTCTGCCATATGGAAGCATGTCAAAAGAGAGGAACCATGTGTGCCTGTCCTGTATCAGTTCCTTTCAACTGTATAACAAACAACACAGAATCTATTAGCTACAGATACCTATTTCACAGCTGGCTATGTAAGTCAGCTGAAGGTCAGGGACTTTTGGCAAACTCCAGACCTTGTGGCTCAGGCAGACACCACTTCTCTTACTCTGTGGATCAAGACTGAAGCAGTCTTAGCTATCTAGACTAAAGCTTGGCATGTCCTTGCCAAGGCTGGAAGGTCAAAGCTCAGGAGGGTTGGTAGATCTTGTTGTGCCAAGTCCACAGTTTGGGCTTTGCCTCATCTAGTGTGGCAGGTGCTGCAAAGCATGTGCTGCAAGGGCAGGTGTAAAATTCTGTACCAGGGAGGAAGTAGAGTTTGGATATTGATATACCACAGTGACCTTAAATCATTTTTAAAGACATGAAGCTATGGCCCAGAATGTTTCCTGGGAATGTGACTTGTTATATAACCAGTTCTCTTCTGTGTGGGTCTTAGGGTGCTAGGTAGCAGAGGCTGTGGGGTTTCCTTTCTTGAGTCTGTCCTAGAAGTTTGGTTAACTAGTTATCTAATATATACAAAATAATACAGTTGCCTGATGGCCCTGGCAGAGTGGGAACTGGTCTGTCTGAGCTGGTTTAACATTTGACGTTCAGGGACCTGTGATTTCTGAGGATCCCAGACCTCACACCACACATGCTTAATGGACACAAACGTTTCAGTTGGATTCTCTTTTCTCATGTGAAATAAAATCTTTAAAATGAGGTGGAAGGAAAAAAAAAATTGATTTCACTGCTTCCCCACAGACTCTGCCCCCAAAGGGATTGAACTAGTGGAAACCTTTGTAGTTTTTTGAGGTCGAGCTGCAGCATTGATGCTGGTTGGTCTCACTGGGAAACACTCTATCTGAACATAGAACATCACCAGTTTTGACAGATTGAAACACTATTTTCATGAAGTAGAATAGATGTCAACCTGCTAACTATTTTATTTTTTTTTGATTATGTTTCTTGAGGTAATGTTGGTTTACAACTGTTTACCTTAGGGGTACAGGTTCACACCTCCTCAAATGTGTGTTATATCACTCCCACCACCAAAGCCCCCCCTAATTCACCACAGTTCATTGGGCTTTCTCCCTACCCTCACTCCCACCTCCACCTTCCCATTTTAGTAACCTCAACTCCACAGTCATGTTAGGGTATGTTTTTGTCTCTTTGCTTTATTTCTTGATGTGCTGTGTGTGAGTGAAAACATTTGGTATTTGTCTTTCTCCTCCTGAATTATTTCACTGAAGACTGCTGAATTTAAAATATCATGAAACCCCAAACAGTGCCTAACTCCTCCCAGTAAGCCTTGCTTGTCCCTGGTGGTTTCAGGTTGCAGATCTGAGCATGGGGGACCTGCTTCTGCACACCACAGTGATATGGCCCAACCCACCCGCCTCGTTGGGAAAGTGGAAGAAGGAGCCAGAATTGGCAGCCTTTGGTATGTACTGGGGAAAAAGAGGCTGGCTTATTTTCAAAATAAGAACATTTCTTTTATCAGACAGAATTGATTATAATCAAGTTGGTGACATGTGTCTGCACTGGTCCTCCTGCTGTGGCCACCATCATGACAGATACAAATGGAACCTTCCGGTTAAGTACACCTGGCTTCGTGGGGACAGGCCTGCCCTAGGTATAAACACATAGCAGGGATAGATTTTCTTTTTGTTGCTGCTGCTGCTCTGAATAACTTTCCAAAATAATGAGTTTTGGAAGAAAAACTAAAGTGAAAAATCAAGGCCAAACTGTGTCTGCTTCTGAGACACCCTCCCCAGTTGTAATTAATTCTCACCCTGACTCTGTGTGGCTGGAATTCAGGACACCAGTTCTCAGTGGGCCTGTTGTGGCACCTCGGGATGTCTTGGTCACTGGCAAGGTGCTTCTCCAACACAGTGTGACTAATACCACCCAAAGTAGGGGTGTCTATGAATGATTTATGGCTTAATAAACTAGTTCAGGTGGAGGCAGTTGCTGCAATTAACAAAGCTCTCATGGTTAGATTGTTAGGCTTTTTGAGAGAAAGCGAGGATGGGCTGGCACCCTGGGAATTGTGGATGATGAAGGAAACATGGCCGCTGTGAAAATGCTTGCGTGGCAGGTGGTAGGCTCCTAGCAGGACACCATCGACAGTTTGTGCTTTGCTCTGTTACTTTCCCTGCCTCCTCTGAGAAGATTCATGGGTAAAATTGTGCTAGAAAGGGAGTCTAGTATTTCTAGCCTCTCACCTTATTTTTGGAGGGGAGGAAAGGGCTATATTATTGCTTACTGCTTCTTTGACTGAATTCTTTTTTTCCTCAATGTGAGTAGTCTTCCCAATGGATCATCCCAGTGATAATAAAATCAGAATGTTTAATACAAAGATTTATTGAGCTTCCTGCTTAGATCTCTCGGCTTTCCCTGAGCAAGACAGTGATGTTCCTAAAATTTTCAAACTAACTGTTGATGCCATATCATGAAAAATAACAAAGGAATATAGACGTGTGCAGGAAGAGGTGATTAAATATCATGTACAGAGGGTAATGAGCTTTTAAAAAATCAGCAGTGTTGGGTGGGGCTGGAGGCTTGGCCAGGGGGCATGGATGGTATTTATGTTCTTGTCACTATTGTCTTTTCTGCTTTCTATCTTGCATTTTCTACTTGGAAAGATCTGTGAGCTCTCTCGTGGTTCTTGGTAGGTCACTTATAGGACGTAGGATTCTGAAGTCAGTGACCCAGACTGCCTACCATGTGATACTGGCTGACAGACCATTTCACAGTCAGCACTGGGATTTTTCACAACTATCTACTAAATTACACAGGTTTTCTGGAGTTAGAAATAAGCAAATTGAGAACAAAAAGAACAGTGAGAAAGTAGGGATCGGCAAACTTTCTATGAGTCACACAGTATATATTTTGGCTGTACAGGCCAGGAGGCCACCAGTAGCCGAAGTCCCGTGGGTGATATGTGGATGGGTGTGCGAGGTTGTATCAGCGGCTGCTGTAAACGGGCAGCCGCTCTGGTTGGCCAACTCGTGATATGAAGGTTAAGGAGATGCCAATTTTGAGGTTTGTTGCCACTTGCTGCACAAATGCAAAAGGGGGAATGTGTGTAATGTGTGTGTGGGGGGGCTGGCATGGTATGGTGTGGTTGGTGTGTGTGTGGTTTGTGTGAGCAGTGTGATCTGTGTGTATGTGTGTGGTTGGTATGTGTGATGTGATCTCTGTGGCGGGTGTAGCTGTGATTGGTGTGTATACAGTTAGTGTGTGTGGTATGACCTGTCTATGGTTGTGTATACAGTGTGGTGTGATCTGTGTATGTGGTTGGTATGTGGTGTGATTTGTGTGTGTGGTGTGACCTGTGTGTGATTAGTGTGTGTATAGTATATGCGGTGTGGTTTGTGTGTGTGTATGGCATTTGTGTATGGTGTGATTGGTGTGTGTTGGTGTGATCTGTGTGTGTGGTTGGTATGGTGTGGTTGGTGTGTGTGGTGTGATCTCTGTGTGTGTGTAGTTCCCTCTTGCCCACCTGGCCCCTGTGTCGTGGCTTGTTTACAAGGGGGAGGTGTGGAGTAGGTATGTCCTGGCTGTGAAGGGACAGAGCCCCCCAGTCCAGTGGTCACTCTGCTGCCAAACTCTGGGGCAGGGACACAGCAGCAAGCTGAAGACTGCTCAGGGCTCTGTGGCCAGAGGCCAGCTTATTATCCAGCACCCTCTGCAAAGTGATAGTTTGAGAGCAGGGGTGAGTGAAGGCAGATTGTCTGCATCATGATCAGCTGATTTATGATTCCCAGTCCTTCAAGCAGACACGTTTCCAGTTTTGGGGTGATTTCAAATAGTAAGGCAGAACTCACTGCACTGGAATTGCTGTGCCCTTGGGATCAGCGTGTGGAGGAAGATGGAGTCCCCAATACAGAGATCTTGATGGGCTGGAACCACCCATATTTTTCCCTCTAGGGGGAGGCAGACTCATTGAGTGTTCAATATGTTTGCCTTTTTGTAAGGGATTCTATAGAAATGAGCATTGTTAAGCAATTCAGCGGAAGATTAGCCATCATTGTGTCTCCTCAAAGAATAGAATAATGGTACATACTTCTTACTGTAAAGAGTTTACTGTGACTCAACCTGTTTGGAAGAAGCAGAACTACATCCTACTTCATAAACTAATTTTCATTTCTTCAGGTCAAAAAGATGAGTTACCCTTCCTGAACTGTGAACCTTGTGTATGTGTAATATTAGCTTACTTTGCATTAATATAAATCACCTTAAGCAATTACAACATTATAGCCACCATTCAGGATGTTTGCATTATGCCTCCAGCAGCTGAACTTGGGTATTTTTGTTTACATATGTACTAGCTAAAGTTTGTTCCTTTTTTTTTTTTTAATATTTATTTACTTATTTATACAAGCACTGGGTTCAGTCAGAAGCGCGGGAGGGTGAGAGGATTCCCAGAGCCAGCGCTGGGAGCAGAACAGGCAGACTGACGAAATACACTGCACTAGCTAAAGTTTTAAATTTGAAATGATGCCATCATGAAAAATACTACTTTTACCCAAAAGTTTCCTGGGGGTGTGGATGAGGGATTTCTGTTTTTCTAGGCTTTTTGTGTTTATGTTCAACCTGGAAAATCTAGTCTCGGTAGGCCTTTGAGTTCTACAGATGTGAGGAATGAGTGGGACTTGGAGTAGGGGATCTGCTTACCAGGATCTCGCTGTCCTCATATAACTGTGCTGTTTGTGACCTCAAGTTATGAAAGGTAAGAGACAAAGAGCCTTGTGTGTTGTGTGCCATCACCCCTTTGTTTCTCTTTTCAGTCTTCAAAACAGCTGTGGTTCTGGTGTATAAAGATGGCTCCAAACAGAAGAAGAAACTCGTAAGACTTCTTATTTCACACCCTAGTTTGAAACTGTCTTCCTCTCTAGCTGTTTCTCTGTTACAGTCCACCCCTCTGTCAGGCAGGCACCTGCTGTGACTGGGTCACTGAGGATTCAGGGTGTTGCTCATCCTGTCATCTTCTGTTTAGGGTCACATTTAGAGCAGGGTGGTCAATGGCTGTTGGGCTTTCTGTATATTCTTTTTCTTTCCCTCTTCTTCCTGTCCTTCTAGTTCTTGTACTGGGGTCCTTTTTCTCCTCCTTCCTGTATCTCTCTTTGGGTGCTAACTTTAGTCAGTGGATCAGTTTTGCACACTGATCACATGTGCATCCCTTGGCCTCTCACTTTCTGCTGCATGAACTTCACAGGGGTAAAGCTGGATAAGCTTTGGGGTTCCAGCATCACTGATTTTGAAAATGTAGGGGTCTGAGGACTGATCCAGGATAAAGCAGATTGTTCTCATGCACCTGGTTCCCTCTCTTCCTGCAGGTAGGATCTCACAGGCTTTCAATTTATGAGGACTGGGACCCTTTCCGGTTTCGGCACATGATCCCCACCGAAGCTCTGCAGGTTCGAGCTTTGGCAAGTGCAGGTGAGCTGTGCAGCGTGCAGGTGCATATTCCAGAGGTGTCTGTGCAGCGTTTATCTGAATTCATGCTCTTCATCTGACCGCCTACCCTTTTGTTCTCCTATGCTGAGCTCTCTCTTCCGTCAGTCCCTCCTTTGCCTCTTATTTGCTTAGCCATTTATTAAATATAGTCAACCTCTTAACAACACAGGAGGTTAGGGGTGCCCCTAATCAAAATCCCAGGATGCTCAGGTCCTGTATAGTTGCCTTCAAACTGTGTTGTTCCAACACCAACTGTAATAGAAGGCAGGGAGGGAAGGTGGAAGGCAAATGACTGGGATGGAGGATGGACTCAGTGAACGTCTGTAATGCCTTTAATATTGTTTGAAAGAATTCTAATCATCGTGTATATATGTGAATAATGTTATAGTGACTAGCATCTGTGTGGCAATGAATCTTACTTCTGGAAAGAATTCTTGAGACCATGATCAGACAAAGGCCATGTAAATAACTCACTTGCCTTTTCACTGGGAGACCCCAAAAGACCACCCAGAGCACAAGAAAGTCATTGAATATGTACATTCACATGTATTTTTTTCCCCAGAAGCATTACAGATTTTTATCTTTGCTATTTTTGTGATCCAAGTAGTAATGAACCGAGTTATAGGGTAGCAGAGGGTGTCTTTAATAAGATTTCATGCTGCTTCAGGCATGTCGGGGGAGAATGTCAGCGGGGTGCTGTCTGAAAGCAATATTCCTGTGACTTGGGGGCCCTGACCAGGGCTTTATTGGGGGCTGCTCAAGGGCATATTCATTGCAATTGCTCTTCTGGGTGTACCCTAGGAGGGAATCAGGTGGTAACTCTCTGAACACACCACTCCCCACTTGACAGGGCTGGCAGGTGCAGCTTTCCAGGAGTAAAGATTGGCCATGGAGGTGCATCCTTGCAGAGGCACTTGCACTCCTGTTGCCCCCTGCTCACATCTAGTAAAAAAGGCACATTAAGTTCTGGTGTCCGAGAGGTGTGGCCTCATCCGCTCCCCATTTCCACTGTTTCTACTTCTGTGAGCACACACAGTGGCTCTGACCCTCATGAAACTAGCCCCCCATAGTCCAACATTCTGAGGGGAAAAGCTCCTGCAATATTTGTTAAGCAATCAGTTCTCACACAGGTGAACCTGGGTGTCTCTGCCCCCATAGTTACACCCGTGATAGGAAAACTTAAGGGCAAAAACCATGTATTTGGAATGATCATTTGCCTGCAAAGGGTTTCTCTCACTTTCCAGCACTGAGATTTACCCTCATACCTTTTTACTTATGATTTGATCGCAAAACTAATTAGCCCATGACTTATCAGTAACCTGTAAGCTGTAGGGAGGAAGAAGAGAGTTGTGGGTCTGTGAACAGCTATAGTAGCATTTTGAGATGTGAGCACTTAAAGATGAATGTCCTCTTACTTTGCAATCTTAAATTGCGAATTATCTAGTTGAAATGGTTCCTTGTGTCTGGTTTGTGAGTGGGAGAGCTTGAAAGGCTTCTGAACAGGAACTTTGCCTTCTCTGGCAACTAAACACATAAAGACTTTAAAACCTGAAAACAAAGGCATCGTTATGATGTGGTCTTCCATGCTCTCCCCTTGCTTTTCACTCAAGTTTAAAACCATCAAGATTAAGCCTTATTTCATGGAGTCATAAAGATCAACCAGCATTTCCCCATGGTGAGGCAATACTGCAGCGGATTTGATCCAGGCAGAATCAGGACATGGAATTTCTAGATTTTATCTAAGTTGGAGAAAGCCTATGAAACTTATTGCAGATGACCATGGCTGAATCATGTGGGTACAATGGGGGTTTGTGTCCAGGGTTCTGAGCTGCTGGACAAGAATGAGACCTCGGAATTGCTACGTCTGTGTGTTTGCAGAGAACAGTGGCTTGGCCAAGCTCTGTTCATGACTTAAAGTTATATGGTGTTGCGAGGCTTATAACAATTAAAATCATACAGTGTTGCAAACCAGGTATTCAGACTTAAAATCACCCTAAAATAGAACTGTTCCTTGCTTTCTCTATATGCTATTTTTACTTCTCTTAGAGTGGGTTCCATTGGGAGACTGAGAAAAAGGAGCTCTGTTTGTTTCCAGGATCTCTTTGTCCAGGGCACTAAACCTGGTCATTCAGGGCAAAAGCTCTGCCCATGGACAGATGTAAGGGACCTGGTGAAATCTGCGTGGGAATCTTGTCCTCTGTCTAGTCCAACTGTTGACAGAACAACTAATCACTTAATTAAAATAGTTTAGCCCAACAGACTGTGCAGCCCAAAGGGTCAGTTCTTCAATCAGTGATTGACTGATTGTCCTTTTAGATCGTCTGGAAGGAGATTTTAGCACTGGGATGTCTCCCAAGCATTCTTTTTCTTAGCATCCATTAAGCTTTCAAACACTTTGTCTCTCTAGATCATAGATCTTAGTGATCTTCTTGTGGTCTAACGCTGCTCTGCACCCGTTAATCTTACACCACAGTGTGGTAAGTGCTTTGTCAAAATGTAAATCAATCCATTTGGAACATACCCTCATACATGCCTGTAATTTATCCAGATGCAGAAGCAAATGCCGTGTGTGAAATTGTCCATGTGAAGTCGGAGTCAGAAGGGAGGCCGGAGAGGGTCTTCCACCTGTGCTGCAGGTAAGCGTGGAGCGTGAGTGCACCCTGTGCAGCCCAGAGCCAGGCACACGGCTGCGTTCCATTGTGTAGATGCGCCACATCTTCCTCGTCCACTCATCTGTCATCAGGCCCTTGGGCTGTCCACAGCTTGGCTATTGTGAACTGTGCTGCAGTGACCATGGGGGTGCAGCTATCTTTTCGAATTGGTGTTCTCCTATCTTACAGAAGAGAGATTACTGAATCATATGGCAGATCTATTTTTAATTTTTTGAGGGGCCTCCACTGTTTTCCATAGTGGCTGCACCAGCCTCCATTCCCACCCACAGTGCCTGAGGGACCTCAGTATTTGGGTGCTCTGTTGAGCCTCAAGAATCTTGTGGTTTGTGCGTCCAAATAAACATTTCAGAATGAAAGGCTTAAGTACTAAGAGCAGAATTTGGCAACTTCTTGATGCGAAATCCATCTGTCCATCAATCCATTCATCAGTGGGCTGGGCTGCCCCAGATTGACTGCAGATGATCTGCAGAGCATTAAAAGGAAAGAAATAAGTGTTCTTTCCCCCAGTGATGATGACACAGCTTGGCATAAAAATTGGAGTCATGGCTCCATCTTTAACCTCTGGCCCTTGGTTATTCATGTGGTTACACCTGATGATACTAGAAAAGCCCCGTGTGTTAAGTACTGTTTCCCTAACACGTGTAAATCTTCTCTCCATAGCTCCCCAGAGAGCCGAAAGGATTTCCTGAAGGCGGTGCATTCGATCCTGCGTGATAAGCACAGAAGACAGCTCCTCAAAACCGAAAGCCTTCCCTCGTCCCAGCAATATGTCCCTTTTGGAGGAAAGAGATTATGTGCGCTGAAAGGGGCCAGGCCAGCCATGAGCAGGGCAGGTACTGTGGGGATTCAGACGTTTAAGATCCCCGTCACCCCCACTCCACTGTAGAACTCAAATGAGCTTGACCTCATTGACCAAGAACTAGATGTGGCCTTGTGGGGCTAACATTGGGGGTATGGTTCTCCCCCCACGTGAGGTTCCTTGCCTGCACCTCCTTCCCAGGGAGCACTGGGGACCTCTTCTTTGTCTCTTCCTCTTGCCCTCCCTCACGCTCTCCCTTTGCTGCACTTCTCCCTTGGCTGGGGAGCTCCCCTCTCATTTGCCAGGCGTGGAGTGAGCGCATTCCCTTTCTGCGGGGGTTGTCATAGCCTGCTTCTGGAATGAGAGTTGCTGCTTTGCATGATAGCCAGCTTTGTCTAGCAAAAAGCCACGTGTCACATCTCAGCAAGGTCATGGCCTGCCATCTTGAGAACACGGTGGCTTTGTAGTCCAGAAACACAGTGATGCCTGTTCTCAGTTAGGATTCCAGGTTTGGTCTACCAGATGACATGTTCGATTTTTACCCTTGCCTTGTGCCTGCAACTTTATTTTTAGCTTCAGTGTTATTTTGGAGAAGCCTTGAGCTGCTGTTGGAAAAGAAGATTCTAGAGTTTAAATGGTCCTAGAGTAAATATTCTTTTAGAACTTATTCCATCACCCTGGAACAGTGAGGAAGGAAGATCGATACTCTCACTTGTAAATAGCAGTAAAATATCTCTTGGAAGAAAGATTTTTTTCATAGCACATAGGTATTCATGACATCAAGATATTTATAAATCCTTTCTTACAAGGCAGCCTAGGATTTGCAGGGAAGATTCCAACACAAGAGGTTTCCTTCGCATTTGCCAAAAGGTTTCTAACCTTTGTCCCAGTTCCCTTTTACCTCTTCTCAATGGTATTGAAGAGGCATGGAGCGAGAGTGAATAGTTGGAGGTTTTAACAGACAACTTCCATAGCTTGACATGGGATATTACATTCTTCAAGAATCTTCAGTATAATTTAAGGGGGTAGCTGTCATAAAACTGTCCTCCAAATAGTTCATAAATGTTTTATTAAAAACCCAGTGCAATATACATCCAATGCAGACTAGATTCTCTGAGATATACCCAGGCTTAGGTCTCCATGTCCAATTCCTCATGGGGTCCTCATGTGAGAAGACTTTGATGGACCCTTTACAGCTCACAGTAGAAAATTTCACCTTGTGCTTGTCTATTTACTAGGCAGGGAAAGTTTAACGAGTACTGGGAATGTATCTACCAACGACAGGAAACTCCAGCCATCATTGGCCAATTTCAGTTGCTCATCAGTGACTCTAAATTGAGAGCTGCATTCCCTTTGAAACTATGCATTTTTAGTCCACTGGACACTCAGAAGCTTTCCTGCTGAGATCCCTGTAGAAAGAAAGCAAAACCACCCTACAACCTACCCCATCCTCATGAAACCAGGAGAAGACCTTGATGTCACGGTCTGTGGGCTTTGGCTGATGGGTAGACTTTCTGCATTTTTGGCTGAGAAAAATTGTGCTGGAGTGGGTCAGCTCAGTACTAGCTGCTCGGCCTTATCAACCGGCCCTGGGAATCCTCCATCACAGATTGTCTCCTGCACCCAGTGAGGCTGACTGCGCTATTCAGCATCCTCGTCATAAAGGGCGGACAGTCATGCTTCACTTTGCACTGTCACAAACACCCAGATTATCTCTTCTTCCTTTGTTCAATTTGAATAGCCCAGGAAAATCAATATCCTGACTCCCTACTTAGTCTGTACATGTGCCAATAACGCCGCTACAATTTTTTTTGTGTTCCAACATTTTCTTATGAAAATTTCCAGACATATAGAGCAGCTGAAAGAAATGTACATATTCACCCCTACCATCTCTATTCTATATTTAATCATTTCTCTGTTTCCATTATCACATATCTATCCATCAACTCATCTTATTTTTGACGTTTCAAAAATGCAGACATTAGTACCTCTAAATATTTCAGCATACAAATTATCAGCAGGTATTTCCAATAGTCCTATTTGGAACAGAGGCGGTTCCAATCTAGGATTGGAGTGAGCCAGACTCCACCACGGTGGTGTTGAGATAAAACTGAACAAGGATTTTTGCGTCTTCCCAATGGAATAGTACTCATTTATTTTTTCCTTCTTTCTCCCCTTATTTCCTGGACATGGTTTTCATTCCTCTCCTTTGTTATGTGTTTGAAGATGGTGGAACACTCTGGAATGATGATGAGAGCTGGTGAGAGTGCATGGGTGAAGGCAGAGGCAATTTAGGCCACAGCCCAGCTACTGACCTTTTCCCTGCTGGATTAGGAATCAAGGCTACATTTAGCTATAATCAAGAATAGTCACCTTCCTTCCAGCAGCAATTTTAATGGTTTTTAGGGCATAGGTATCAGGACGGCAGCTCTGAGTTGGTGTTCTGGATCCCCCCTCTGTTGGAAAGCCCCCGTGGCCTCTCACCTTCTTGTCTCTAGCGCAGAAGCCCTTCACTTCTGCGTGGGAAGGGGGACGGGCAGCACCTCCTGGTGGACCTCCTTGGGGGTTGTGTGTGTGTGTGTGTGTGGTGTGAGATTGATGGATTGCGTGGTGTCTTTCGTTGGTTGGTTTTTAAAAATTCCGGCTTCCTAGAGGGCAGTAGGTCAAAGAATGAACTCACAGATGATTTTTCTGGACAGTTTGTCACTTTCCATAGCACTTTGCTGACCAGCAGCTGGCGTGTTATACATTATTTCTCATTCCACGCAGGTCCCCATATTTTCATTGATTTGTGGAAGAGAAGTGGTGATATGTGAAACGTAGGCAGGCGGGCCAAGACTCCAGTTTGCCAGCCTCACGGCTCATGTGGCACCGTCTCAGACAGAGGAGGACACAGCTGGGGGGCTGGCACTGGAGAGCCGCTCTGGCAGGGGTCTCGCTGCCTGAGAGGGACGCCACACCTTAATCTCTGCAGGTGCACATTCCCTTTCCGGGGAGACAGTGTAACCCGCACTGTGCTTTGGCGTCCTCTTTTACAAAAGGCTATTCCAGCGAAATGACCCTAGGCCAGGCCCCTGGGCCCTCAGAGCAGGGTCATGGTCAGGGATGAGGGCAGGAGCCCGCCCCACAGGGGAAACCCGCCTTACCCATTCCCAGGAGCACAGGGTAGAGAAGGAGCTGAGCACCTCTTCCCCATCACCCTGGAGACCCGGGCAGTCCTCTCGGCGCCCGTGGCCAGTCCTCCAGTCCAGACATCTGGGGCCCAGCCTGAGAGTGCCTGGGCCTCAGCCTGGCCTGACACGCCCTTGAGCCTCCCTTCCTGCCCTTGAACTTGCTTTCTGGACTCGCCTCTCAGGTAAAGCATGGGGGGTTTGATCTTGTGTCTTTGTGTGTGTGCGCAGTGTCCGCCCCCAGCAAGTCCCTTGGGAGAAGGCGGCGGCGACTGGCCCGCAACAGGTTTACCATTGATTCCGACGCCATCTCGGCGGGCAGCCCGGAGAAGGAGGCCCAGCAGCCGCCCGCGGGCGGGGACACGGACCGCTGGGTGGAGGAACAGTTTGACCTTGCTCAGTACGAGGAGCAGGAGGACATCAAGGAGACGGACATCCTGAGCGACGAGGACGACTTCTGCGAGGCGGTGAAGGGCGCGGCGGTGGACAGGGACCTGCGGGAGCGGCTGCAGGCCGCGTCCATCGGCCCGCGCGGCCGCCGCGCCCTGGAGAGCCACGCGTCGCGCATGGCGCAGCTCAGGAAGCAGGCCGCGCTGTCGGGCATCAACGGGGGCCTGGACAGCGGCAGCGAGGAGGTCATCTGGGTCCGGCGGGAGGACTTCGCCTCCTCTCGGAAGCTCAACACCGAGATCTGAGGCTGCCCCAGCCCCGGCGCGTGTAGATACCCCCGAGCCCCGCCCGTCCTCGCGCTGCGCTGCGCTGCCCGCCGTGCGCCCCTGCAGGAGGCCGCTCCCCAGGGCGCTCCGGGGCGCGCGGCCCTGGCAGCTGACTCTGTGCCCAACTCCCGTCGCTCCCCGACTCGCTCCTGTGCAACAGCCGCCCAAGGGACCCATCGGCAGCCGGAGTCAGCTGCGGCCTGGCCTCCGTGCGCCCCCGAGGGCTGGGATTTATTCGCAGTGGAGCAGGACCTGAAGAAGGGAAACAATCCATCTCCAGCCCTGGAAAGCAAGTGATCCCAGGAGGGCCAGTGTGGACCGCACGTTAGTTAGCTGAGGGATAGCACAAGAAAAGAGAGAGTGATGCTGGCAAAGACCGCTCCACCTGAGTCCATGCGTCTCCCCGCCGGGAAAACCACCTTCCACACAGAAGGAAGCAGAGCGACTGCACAGCCTGCGGGGTTTCCTCTCCCTCTTCTATGTCTGAGCATATCTGTGTACTTCAAGAATGTGTGAGCAGAGAGGGTGGCGCTTTGTGTTTTCATTGAGCCTTTTTTTTTTCCTCTTCTGTTTAGGTCTGTGGCTGGTCTTTACTCTGTCCGTGTTCGGAAGTTCTAGTTTTGCAGAGAATTCTAAAAGATGCCAAACTCCTCGAACAGAGATCCAAATTTATCACTTGAAAAATAAAACACTATTTTTTGTATTTTACCTGAGATGCAGGGGCACAAACAGATGAGAATTTTACAGTGTTAGTGTAACTCTGAGTCTAAAAGAAAACGAGGCTTTTACCTTTTGCAGAGAGTGAGGCATGGTGATTTTATATTTATATATGAAAAGTCAGCAAGATGCTCGTGCTTAGGAAGGCCTTTTTTTTTCCCGAGAAGCAGATTTTTTTTTTTTTTTTTATGTTCAGATCTCTATTTGAGACGGGTGCTTGGTTGGATTAAACAGGACGCCCGCCTGGGCAGTGTGTGTGTCTGTTGCACATGGTGGGGGAAGGGAGGCGGCTTCTCTGGGGTTGCCATGGTGATGATTGGTTTCCCATCAAAGTTGCATCTTCATCCATCGGTTCCCTCCCTCTTCCCTGACAGTCCGTAACCAAACCTCTTCACCAAACCACCTCTTCCAAAACATCTCTCTAACACTATCTTCATACCGATAAAACAGGGTAAACCTGCTGAAACTCTAACCTTTCAAACAGATTTCCAAATAGGGAGAACAAAAACAAATGAAAGCACTTTCCATTTTGTTTTGTAAGAAAATAAAAAGGTTTATAGCTTTTTTTTTTCCCATTTCACAATGTCCACTTCCTAAGAAGGGTTTTAAATAATATGAAAACTTTCTTTTTGGGGAAACTATCTATTTGGTGTTTGACACATCAGTAGGTACTTTAAAGACCTGAATTTTATAGTAGCTTTAGGAATTATATTTTATAAAAATCAGTTATGACTTTATATTTCCAAATAATAGAGAGTCCAGAATGTCACGCTCTTGTGCCCTGCTTGCTTTCCTGCTTTCCAGTCCTCTGCCCCTTCCCTTTTGGGTTTCCAGGGCTTTGAGCTTGATCTCTTGAAAGTTTTATTCTATTAAATTTTTGCTAAATCTTCTGATTTTCTTAAAAAGCTTTAGAATGGTTTCTATACCCTTTATATCGCTGCATTGTCCCGTGTCACCTCCAGTGCAATCGTGTCCAGACGGAACACGGAAGCAGAGGCTCCTAACGGTCTCACGTACTAGCCCCAGTGCAACGGGTCTGTCGAAAATGCTGGAAAGTCTGGTGCTTGGAGAGGGTGCCATTGTCTCTTGTACATAAGGTCATGACGTGTCTATGTCCAAAGTTCTTATATATTTCTTTTATAAGCTGAAAGAAGGTCTATTTTTATGTTTTTAGGTCTATGAATGGAACGTTGTAAATGCCTGTCAAACAATAAAAATATTGAAAAGTGGATGGTTCACTGCTTTTTTTCGAGAGAGGAATGAATATGAACTGTTGGTGGGAAAAAATACCTGGGGGATTCCTGCAACTGCCTGTTTTCTAAATAATGAAGGCAAAACTGACTTGTTGGAGCTCGAAGGATTTTTTTGTAGCTGTGCCTCTGTAAAAGAAGACCAGTCGCACTACACTCTGCTTGGGTAGCAGCGGCAGCTTTCCCGGTCTGCAGTCACTGGACAAGATGGTAGAAACGTCCAGCCTACTCTAAAAATAGGGACTAGGGGCCGGTAAACAAGACCCCAGAAAGCAGCAAAGTTCTGTTACTGTTGTGGTAACTGGCATTCTCCTTTTTTCTGTAGCTTCTCGGGCACCAACTGGAAAGAACATTCTAGAATAACATCGTTAAAAACAGGTAGCTTTAAAAAGTTGTAACGAATAGCAAAGTCATGACGGTTGTTGAAATCTCAGTTTACTGATTCAGAGAAGTGGAAGCAGCACCAATATGGATTGTTCCCACCCCACAGTTTCTTTTCTAGTCTCCTGTCCCTGCTTGGGGGAGTAGGCTGAGGGGAAGTATTAGGGTGAAGTGTGGGAACTTATGGACCTAGGCGGGTACACTCTTGAGACCACCTCCCCATTTTGTCACCAGCTGGCTTGATGCCTCGTATTCTGTGGAATCATAAAAAAGGTAAAACGTGCTCTTCAGCTACCTTCCTGCTGTCTCATCATCCCCATCTTACCTCAGTCCCTTGCAAACCTCACATGGTAAGAGCTTTCTCGCCCACACCTGCCTGCCCCCCCCCCCAGCTGGACAGGTTTCCTCCCTCCTGCCTTCCTGGCACTAGCGCTGCTCTGTGAGCTCTGCTGTCTGGCGCCTTCCTTTTTCGTGAGGTTCCTGGAGCATCGGCATCCTGGATCTTAGACTTGTACAAACAAGCACCCACCGGGACCGCTGGATGAGAACCTGCATTCCAGCGAGAGGCCGGGTGTCCCCTGTGCAGGCTCAAGTCGGAGAAGTGATGTTTTGGTGGTCTGCAGATGTTTTGTGGTTTACCATATTTCCGAGAACATACATTTTTGAGCCTGTTTAGGTTCTGCTAGAGCAAGTGCATATTTAAAGATACAGACAGATTTCTTTCTGTAGCCACTGGGTCCCTCTTGGGGCATGCCAATTTGATGAAATGAGTCCAGCGTCTTGCACATGGTGTAAGTAGCTGAGGCTGCTTTCCCCCCCCATGTCCAAGTCTGCAAGATAGAGGCATCCGGTTACTCAAAGTCAGCCCTAACAACCCCCACCCCCAAACTTAATTTCTTTTTCACGCTCGTGTTCCACCAGCTGGCAGAAAACACCTTCGGTGGTTCATTCCTCTGCATGGTTGTCAGGATTTGGAGTAGGGTCCTGCCTCTGTTCTTGAAGGTCATTCATCCACCGAGATCCCTGTACTCATGAGACTTGACCTCACTATGTGTCCTTCCAAGTTGGGTGGTGGGGTCCCTACTGTTTCCTTTTGCTCAGACTCTGAGGTTTTCTCACCAAGGGTATCTCGCCAGCCCTGTCCCTCCCTCGGCCAAGGTCTTAGACCTTCACCCCTCCACCTCTCTGCCGCCTGCATCCCCGGCCTGTGAACCTGCCTCTTGGTGTGGGAGGGGGCACGGATGCGGTGGGGGGAGCAGTACAGACAAGCCCTTTTTTCCAAACTTGGAAAACTTGAATTTCCCTATGCCACCAGCCTACCCTGGGATGGGGGAGGGGGTTCCCCGTGACTGTCCCCTCTTAGAAAAGAGTTATTGAGCAAACAAGAAAGAAGGAGAAATGAAAATAGAGAAAATCACATCAACTACTGAACATATTCAGGCACACATAGAGAGTGTGGGAGACTGAACATCACACTCCCCATAGGGTTCTCTAAAAGGAGTCAGCAAGGAATAGGAAATACTCAAACACATCACGAGCATGTGGGTTCGGTCAACTCTGGATGCTGTGGACTAGACACTGTCTTGGCTGATGGGAGCTGATAGGAACCTCCCAAATCATGTCTCTGGGGTCACTTTGTTTCCACCATCTGGGTCAATATCCTGACCCCAACCCCGATGGAGGGTGCTGTATCCTAAATCCTGTTTCATTTACAATAGCTATTTCTGGTCTGTTCCATCCTTTCTATGGACCTTAAGGCATCTAATTTTTATTATTTGTGCCTGGGAATGGTTGATTTCTTAGGGTACAGTCATGCAAGTAGTTTGGGAAGCATTTACATGCATTTCAATGATTCTGCTGTAGGTTTCTAAATTGTGGGATGGGGTAAACCTGTGTGGCTTCTTGTGGGTGATCAGGATCCTACTCCTGTGTCTTTACTTTGCCAATAAGTGCCTGTCATCTTGCCAGTGGGGAGCTGGTGGCCTCACCTGAGCTTATATTTGGATTCTTTGGACCTGATGCTCTTGGTGAGCTGAACTTTCTCCCCTATCCTTCTCCTTCCACACTCAGCTTTACCGGAATATTTGACCGCTAGATTCTGGGGTTTGGGGTACTTGCAGTAACAAGAGTTGAACATCAATGTGCTTTCTCTTTAAAACTCCAGGGGTTTTAATTATTCCTCCTCCTGTACATGCTGCTGCATATTTTGC